GTTGATATGAAAAACAGTGACTCTAACTGCTTTGAGATGGAAGTATGGAACCCTAGGAAATTTTACATCTAAAATAACCAAGTTGCTTAATGAATGGATTGTGTACGGATATTGACACCGATTCATAGTCATGGATTTTTGCTTATACTTTAAAAATATTGAGTAAATTCCATAAAAGGTCTCCAATTATAGGTCGTTTTACATATTTAGTCCCTACATATCAAATATTACTAATTTAGTCCCCAATTATTATATTCATTTCCACGAATGGTCCTTTGTTAACATTTCCGTTAAGAACATAGATAAAATTATAAATTCACACTACTATCTCTCCTCAATTAAGCTTCCTCCCTCCCCTCGTACTCTTTCCCAAACTCGTCGCTGAGTTTGAAGCTCTAAACCCAAATTTGAAATGATCATTCCTTTCTCAATTATTAGTTTTCTTGGTCGAACCTAAAATCAAAACTAATAAGCTTTATGGATGCGTTTTATCAGTTAGTCTCAAGAAATTTTAAAGAAAATAAACATTAAAACTCATCCATGAAGGTTACTGGTTTTGAATTTGGGTTCCACCAATTAGACAAACAATTGAGAGAAGACTGATGATTTTGGTTTTGGGTTCAAAGCTTCAAACTTAGCGACGGGTTTGGGAAAGGAGTGCGAGGGGAGGGAGGAAACTTAATTGAGGAGAGAAAGGAGTGTGAATTTATAATTTTATCCACGTTCTTAATGGAAATGTTAACAAAAGACCATTCGTGGAAATGAATATAATAATTAGGGACTAAATTAATAATTTTTGATATGTAGGGACTAAATATGTAAAACAACTTATAACTGAGGACCTTTTATGGAATTTACTCAAAAATATTTATGGTCTATGTGGTAAGGATGGTGTGCAAGAATCTCGGTCGTTTTGTCCATTTCAAAAATACTACTCCCTCCGTCCCGCTATATTCGTCCACTTTTGACTTTTGGAACTGTTCATCTAAGCACTTTGACTCATCAAATTCTCTCAATGTGTAAGCCTAAATATAGTCATGTGTGATCTTGTTTGATTTGTCTTAACATATAGATTATTAATATATAAGTTCTATAATTTTTTAATATACAAATTACAAGATAAAATAGATTAAAGAAGTGTATTGGATGGTGTGCAAAAATGAAAGTGGACAAATACTCTGGGACGGAAGTAGTACTTCGTATTTTTGTTTGGATTATGAAATGAGAAGTTACATTTATCCCGTACATTTTATGGTAGACATTTTTGTATTTTTTCCAAATGTCATTTAACAAATGACAATCATGTCATCTTTTATTTTATAACCTTTTATCTTATAGATCTTTTAATAATATTATAAATACTTTGTATATAAAAATACTCTGCACCAATTTTAAAGTTAAAAAATTGAATTAAAAATAACTTATGACAATCATCATAATCTGAAATGTCAAACATTATTTGAGATGGAGGCATTAGAAATGACAATAAATACGAACAATTTTTTAATAAACTACCATGAGTTCACACTCAAAATAACTAGAACCAAAAAGATGACTTGAGTTCAATTAAATATTGAAACAAAGCTCTAGATTGTTTACTAATGATATCTTTCTGCCATCAAACTAGAAGTAATATTCTTACGAATATTTCTCATTTCTTGACTTCCCAACCTATCTTATTATTTGCAACATGGTTTTCAACATCTTCAAACACATCTAGGGGTACAAATCCAGGGTCATCCTCAACAAGCCAAAAAGCCGGGTCGTCAATTATGTTCATCCGAATATATAGCTATTGATGGATTAAGGATTTTACCTAATCCAATATTATTTGAACAGTACAAAAAAGCCCAATTTTATCTGGTTCAAGATATAAATTAGATAAATTCTTCAAGACGGAGCTAGAGATATGAAGACGAAGAAGATAATTTGATAAGATATATACATATTGCCTGGGCCCCAAGGATATATTTGGTGGGACCTAGACATAATGTTTTGTCTCCCACTATTTCATTCATCTCCTCCTTTAAAAGGAGAGAGTACAAAGGAGTGAAAGGGGGAGACCAATTTTCCACATACTCAAGAGGCCAAGGCAAATTTCTACAACTTCCTATTATTCTTCATACTTCTTCTTCTCTAAGCTTGGAGCTCCATTAATGGCTCCAAGCTCCTACAATGATGTATATGAAAATTTCCCCGATATTAATAAAAGTTCCTCCCATTTGGCATGACACTGCCTAAAAAGGCTCGTGGTTTTCTCCCAGTATGGGTTTCCACGTATAAATACTTTCTCTCCGCTTTATTTATCTATTTATTTTCTAGATTTCGCTATTCGCTGCGGTGCCGACCCGATGCCAAGTTCGTCGGGTCGACGCTCCGAAAAAACGGTTTCCATCACTGGCGTCGACCGTGGGACCAAGTACAAAAAATTTACATCACTAGCGCCGACCCGGTGCCAAGTTCATAGTTTTCCAAATGAGCTTCAAGGTCTCAGAGTAGGGCTGGACACGGTACCGGTTCGGTACCGTTACCGGCGCCGGTACCGGCGGTACCCGCCACCGTCGCCGTCGACCGATTCGTTACCCGGTACCAGGAACCGGCACCGGTACCACCCCACTCGGTACCGGTTCCGGTGCCAATATTTCCGTACCGGCACCGGCGGTACCGGTACCGGTTCCGGTACCGTTAAATTTTTTTTTCTCTTTTCCGGTTTTCCTGCTGTCCAACGGAGTGTTAATGGCGAAATCTCTCGGATTGATTTACAGGAGGATGAACCAGTGAAGGATGCAACAACCGATGCTGTATTTTATGCTCCGCCACGCCACTGCCGACCTTGATTTCTCCTTTCTTTTCTCCTTTTTCTCCTTTTCTCCTTTCTTACCGCCAAAGGGTTCCAAGTTCTTCCAATTGTTCTTCAATGAGGGGTCTTCTCTGCCGGGGAGTTGAAACCGACCGGTCCGGTACCGGAACCGCCGGTCCGGGAACCGGAACCGTTACCGGCCGGTCCGGTCACGGTGCCGGTGCCATGGGGTGGCGGTACCGGAACCGGCGGTTCCGGAACCGGAACCGTACCGTGTCCACCCCTATCTCAGAGAGCTCATGGACGAGTTCGGGGTAGATGTGTAACACCCCAACCCGCGTAACCCTAATACATGGACCAGCAGATTGGTTTGTCACTAGAATGACATCCAAACACATCATATTTTTTTAAAAAAATTAAAACATTTAATTCAAAGCATTATTTGAAACATGCATCATAGTTAACAAAACAGTGCAGAAGGTTAAATACTTAAATCAAAATACAATTCTAGGTTCTTTGCCCAAAAACATTTTAAATTCAAATATAATACTCCTTCCGTCCATAAATAAAGTTCTCACTTTCCTTTTTCGTCCGTCCAAAAATAATCTTCCCATTTTTATTTTTGGAAAGTTTTTTATACTCGTACTAAAAAGCTAAGTCTAAATTAGCCTCCCCATCCACTCCCTATCTTTTCTTTTTCTTGTTCCTTTCCCATCCGTTTCTGCCAGGAATCCCACCCATCACTTTTTCTTTCATTCTCTTTTCTCTCTTTTTCTCTCTTTTCTTATCTTCTTCTTCTTCTTCTTCTTCTTCTTCTTCTTTTCCTTATTTCTTTCTCCTTTCCTCTTCTGATTTTTTCCTGTAAATTGATAGCAGTGAAGCAGCGATCGGGGTAAAGGTGGGGCAGCGAGGTGATGGTGGTGGCCGGAGGTGATTTGTGACTTGGGTCGGACAATAAACTAGAAAATGGGGTATTACGCAGCTGGTACAGTACTTGTCACGGTACCTTGGCACCATCCGTCCGGTACCCCCTACCATCCAGCACAGATACCAGCAGAGGAATTTGCTTTGTGCTAGTAGCTGGGTACCGTTAGACAGTACCTAGCTATTGTTTGTGTCGGAAATTGCAGATCAAGCTCAGGGATCAGTTCCAAACATACCAGTTATGAATTTATATCCTTACGGAGGCTAGTAGCACATAATCCACATAGAGATTATTGAGGAGAAGCTTGGGGGTAGGAATGACAACTAGTCGAGTTCGGGTCGGATAGTGCTATACCCGAACCCAACCCAACCCAAATTTTAAAAATGAAACCCGACCCCCGACTCGAAACCCGACTTTTGAATAAAAAACCCGACCCGATTCGAACCGAACCTGACATTTAAACCCAAAACTCAAACCCGAATATGTAATTTAATCAATATCAGATTTGACGTACCCCAAGGATTTTTAAAGAATAAATCTAAATTCTTTTGTCTCATTTTTTCAGTGTCTCATTTTTTATTGAAAAATTATACTCCCTCCGTCCTAAAATTAACTTCCCATTTGACTTTTCACGGTCTCTAATGTAATGCTTTGACCATTAATATCTCTATTTTTATATGAATATATATTATAAAAATAATATATCTCAAAACTATGTTTCAAAATGAATATATTGATAATAAATTTATATGAAAATTCAATATATTTTTTTCGTAATATACAGTCAAAGTTTAAAAAGTTTGACTGCAAAAGTCAAACTGGAAAGTTAATTTTAGAACGGAGGGAGTAAAAAGAATTATAAAAGGGATACTTTGTATAGTAGTATTTTGTCAAGACGATTACGTGTCTAGAAATGAAGAAATGAAAACAAAACAGTAAACATACCAGAGATGCGAGGAAGGAAGAGATGCAAGGAAGGAACAACCATACACAGAGAATGAAAAACACAGAGAGATGCAATGTAAGGACTAAGATAGAGATGCAGTTGCACGAGAAAATCGAAAAAAGAGATTATACGGAGTACTCATTATATCCGTGTATGGGGTTTTATGTTATAAAATATTTGGGTTCGGGTCAGTTACATTTATAAACTTACACAAGACCCAATGTCGGGTTCGAGTAATTTTTTTTTTGAGTCAGGTTAAGATTATTTTATTATTGGTTCACGTTAGAATATATTTAGTGTTAGATCGGATCTGTTTTGAATTGTCATGCCTACTCCTAGGACCGCACATTGAAATGGCCTTTTAGGCTTAGGGTCGGAGTCACAGAGCGAGTAGCAAAAGTCAGAAGGCAGTAGAAACTATAAAGTAAAGAATGGCAGAAGAAGGAGAGAAGAAATCCGGAAATGGTAACGCCGAGACAGGGTCGTTAGTAGATAAAGACGAGGGAGAAATTGGAATGAAGCCATGGGAGCAACACTCTACAGTGATCAGCATCCCTCGATTCGACTACAACGCTCCCTCTTCTATCCTTCGTCAATCTCGCTGTGGCTTCCTCATCACCTGCCCCATCAGTCAGTCCCCTTTCACCCTCTCTCTCTGTATAGTGAAACCCTGTTAAGGAATGAATATTCTTATTCGGATTGCAAAGCTTAAGGAGTTATAGATTTGCTTCAATTTTCCGCATTCCACATGTGGTTTCTAATTTGGTGTATGTGTGTGCTTTTGTGTTTGTATGTAACATGTATTCATGTATGTTGAATTGGAATTGCAGCACTATTTGTTTGGTTGCTGAACTGTTCTTGTTGCCGTTGATGATAGTTCATTTATGGTTGTTTGGCTTATCTGCATTCTTGTCAAGAAGTTGTGGTCTCTTATTTAAATTTTAAAAATATGCATAATACTTTTCTGAGCTAATGCTCCAAGGGATAATAATAAATAGGACTAAAACATAATGACTTTCTCAATATAGGACAATATGTTTTTATTTCCCAATGTAGGACCATTAGTCATTATTTATTAGTCATCATTCAACTAAATGTCCAGCATCACTTGGACATTATTCTTCTCACTAGTCATTATTAAGTCCTATTTAGGGAATAAAAAGTTTAAGTCCTACATTAGGAAATGACTTATGTTTTAGTCCTATTCACTGCAAATTTCACATAACAATATGGTGGTAGTAGAGTTGTTTCTACCTGCTCCGATTTCATACAATATTTTGGTACATACTTTCTCTCTCTTTTATTTGTTATTGTCTTTGTTATTGTGTGTTGCTGGACATACAGAATGTTTCACCCTCAATATATAAGCAGAAATGCCACTTCTTAGGATGGTGGTATTCGTGTATTGTGGGCATGATTTACTTCATTGTATAGGATGGCTGGAAGTCAGTAATATGATTTCTTTGGATACATAACAGAGAGTAGTGAGAAATTTTGTATGAACTAAAGTTAGATGTATGTTAATTCCATACAATTTGTTATTTGGCATATTTGATTTAAAAGTACACTCATATCAAGATTTGGACTAAATGGCCCTTTTTTAATTTTTGGAAGGAAAAACAGAACACATGGGACAGGGAGTGGGACCTAGTAGTGTTCTGTTGGGGACCAAGGGTTCTCAGGTGGTTAGTTTCCTCATGTTTGACCTCCATAGCACACATAGAGGTTTATATTTACAATGCAACCAAATGTTTTTAAATAGTCATCATTTGTACTTCCTACAAAATGACAAAAAGAAATGGATTTTGTAGTAGATTGTTGACACTACATGTAATATTTGGCTCAATTATTATATTACTTACTGGCGTCCATTGCCAATTGAGCTAAAAGAGTAATTTCTTATGATGGTATATCTTTGGGTAAAGAATGGAGTAAATCTAAATGGCACATTAACTTTCCCTTGGCTCATACTTTCGATGAAAGCAACAAATGCGCCAATGCATCAAGGATCTAGGGGAAACAACCTCTCCTTTTTTACTGGGGTAAGGTTCCATACTTATTAACCTCCTAGATCCAACGAAGTTGGGACAATATCGGGCTTGTTGTTGTTGTTGTTGTTGTTCTTGTTGTACGTTGGTAGTTATTGAATTTGAAAATATGTCAACATTGTTATGTTCTTATTCCGTTGAATGTTAATTGATTGCAAGCTACAATATATTCTATACACATACAAATTGAAACTTTCATTTGATTTGATTGCTCAACTTTTAACTACTGTAACATATAATCTATGTTTGAATGTTTTCTTTCTTTACATCAGAGAGGGAAAAAAGCGCAACAAAAGAAGCATTTTGTATTTTGGAAAAGGTTATTCTCAGTAATTCTTTTATTTAATTACTTTTGTAGATCAATGTGCTTTCATGTTTTCTTGTTCTCTTTGCTTTCTATCCTTGCCAACAAACATCTTTTTTCTTCTTCTGCCTTTTATGAGTTAAAAAGATATTAGGGGATTAGGGTTATGCAGTTGGTTCATTTTGTTATGAGTTTCGTTGGGATATAGGAGACTTGTCTTTGACAGATCTTTCGGGGAAGAGTTTCTCCTAGATAGAAACCCTAGAACCTAGTTTTAAAATGCAAGCACATCCAGACGCAAAGAGGTGGGGTGCACCTTAGAGAATTGAGGATCACCTCCTTGCATATCAGTTACATAGCCCATACATCTTATCCTGTGAATTGTGATGAAACACAGTGCTCCCTCCGCCCTTTAAAAAACTACACATTTTACGTTATGATGTTTGACCACATTTGTCTTCTAAGTTATTTAAATATTCGTGTAAAATTTAAACAATGAAGTTGTGGGAAAGTGTTTGAACGGAGGTTGAGACAAGAGACTTCGCTGTCAGAGAACCAATTTGGTTTTATGCTAGGAAGATCAACTACAAAGGCTATATGCTTGGTGAGGAGAATGATGGATAGGTACCAAAGTAAGAAGAAAGATTTAGCTATGGATTTTGTTGATTCGGAAAAGGCATATGATAGGGTACCAAGAGAAGTATTGTGGAAGGTGTTTGAGAAAAAAAGAGTAAAGAATGCTTATATTTGTGTGATTAATGACATGTACGATACTACGATGGTGCTACAACGAGTGTGAGAAGTCAAAGTGGGTAAAGGTGAATTTCCCATCCGTGTAGGAATACACCAAGGGTCATCGCTAAGCCCATATCTTTTTACGCTAGTATCAAAAGTTCTTACGGAGTATATTTAAGAACTTGTACCCTTGTGCATGCTTTTTGCAGATGACTTCATACTTATGGACGAATCACGAGAGGATATAAATGGGAAGTTGGATTCGTGGAAACAAGATTTGGAGTTGCATGGCCTGCCTATAAGTCACACTAAAACAGAGTATACGGAGTGCAAGTTTAGCAACATAAGGAGAAATAATAATATCAAGATGAAAGTCAGAAATAATATTATACCACAAGTGAAGAGATTTAAATATCTTGAGTGTATCATTCAAGACAATGGAGAAATAGAAGATGATGTTAACCACAAGATTTAAGACGGTTGGTCAAAATGGCGGAGTTGTTTGGGCTTTATAGGTGACAAAAAAGTACCTTTAAACTAAAGGGAAAATTTTACCGTAATACGATTAGACCGACTATGTTGTATGGAACATAGTGTTGGGCAGTAAAGGGTAAACATGAACACAAGGTTAGTGTGGCCGAAATGAAGTTGCTTTGATGGATGAGCGGTCATACGCGTATGGATAGAATAAGGAATGAAGATATGAGAGCTAAGTTTAGAGTGACACCCATTGTAGAAAAGATGGTAGAAACTCATTTTAGGGGGTTTGGAGATTTGGAGAGAAGACCAATAGAGCATTCAGTGAGAAGGGGTTGATCAAATGACAAATTGACATATGGCTAGAGGAAGAGGTAGACCTAAGAAGACTTGGCACGAAGTGGTCAAGGGAGACCTTCGTGTGAATGATCTCACTGCAAATATGGTACATGATAGGGCGTAATGGCATCGTTTGATTCATGTAGCTGACCCAACCTAGTGGGATAAGGCTTTGTTTTTGTTGTTGTTGTTTTGTTGTGTATTCGTGTAAAATTTGAACTTAAAATTTACATATTCAAAAACTACATCAAAAGTATTACTCTCGCCATCTCAAAAATAAGTTCTTAAGTTGACCAGACACAATTAGTTAGGAGAGCTAAAAAATAAGTTTGACTTTCCTGAACTGCCCTTCTACCCTATTCACCACTAAGTCTTGAATGATGTTGATGGAAAAAGAAGGACAATTCGCACTACTGCAGATATTTGTTTCTCCATCAGATTATCTAACATTGGATGGTCAATGTTTATTGCTCTTAGCCTCTATGATTCAGCCCTGCAGTGAAGCCATGGAATCTCTACTAGATCCGTATGGTGATCTATTTGAAGAACCATGTAATATACCTCCAATTGGACAAGGGTATGATCATAAGAAGACCTTACAGGTACCTTGGTGTTCAGAAAAACATAATTGAGAAGATGGTGAATGAAATGTTGAATAAAAGAATAAATCAGAGCAACAACAGTCCTTATGCTTCCGTGTGGTGTTGGTTGAGAAAAAAGATGGCATCTGGAGGCTTTGTGTGGATTACAGTGATCTCAACAATCACACTATTAAAGATAAGTTTCTCATACTTTTGTTGGAAGACTTATTGGATGAGTTAGGATGATCTAGTGTCTATACAAACTGGACCTAAGATCTGGGTATCACCAATTAAGAATGTGTAAGGATGATGTGTACAAGATAACATTTAAAACTCATAGGGTAATAGAAACCTACTAGAATTAATTCAGGATCTAAATTAATACTAAATATAACTCTCCCTCCCTTCTCTCAGTAAGTATCTCACTGATGAAAAAGGAATAGAAGCTAAGAGAATCTCAATGTGATTAATGGTTTATTTTTTGGATATCTCAACAATACAGAAGTTGGGATATTTATAACAACTCTAACAAACTGATAAGATCAAAAATAACAAAATGATCTGATAAGATCAAAACAACAAAGTGATAAGTTCTAACTAACTAAGCTATCCTAGGGACTGAGGACTCCGACTCCTAATAACATGAGAGTTCTTTTATTTAATAAATACTCCCTCCGTCCGGGAATAAACTTCCTACTCTACCTTTTTTTCCGTTCGAAAATAATCTTCTCATTCTACGTTTTTATTCCAATTCTTCCAAAAATACCCCTTCCTAAAATATCCCACCCTTTCATTTTTCTTTTCTCTTTGTCTCCCGTTCCTCTCCTGTTCTCCATTTCCCCAATTCCCACTCTCTCTCTTCTCATTTTCTTCTTCTTTTTTCTCCATTTCCCCCATTCCACCGTCCATCTCCTCCTCTCCTCTTTTTCCCCTTCATCTTTGTTCTTCTTTATCTCCTCTTATTTCTCTTCCATTTTTCTTCTAGATCTGAACATGGCGGTGATGGTAGCGGCGGCGATAGTGGCAGCGGTGAGGATGGTGAGTCTAGCCTCCTCGCTCTTCTCCGATTCAGCAACACGACGATAGAGCGAGGAGATGGCCCTTTCCGGCGGAAAATTTCAGCTGTGTATCCAGCCCTTTCCGAAAAGTCCAGCGACCTCCTCTCGGCGCGGCTCTCTTCTCCGGAATTCAGTCGGACACAGTAGCGCAGATCCTGATTTCCCCTCCGATTCGAGTTGCAACGTCGAACCAGTAATTCCGGCGAGCCTCTGCTTGGAGATTTGTGGTGGTGATACGAATATATCTTGTTCCGTATCAGATGGCAGGGCTGGTAAAAGTAGAGGGAGAGGGAGGGCATTTCAGACAAATTACACCCTGATATATATCCGGGAGCATGCCCGAAGACTCTCCATAGCCCGCCAAGGGAAAGACAGATCAGGGGAATAAAGCCCAAGTGTGGTGACATTAATTGGGTTGAAACTTCTCCATCTTCCTGTCTTAGAACCCAACCCAACACCATGGTTGTCCTACACCCACCCTAGGCTGAGCCCACACTCTCCATACCTTCCCTAAACATCCAAAATATTTCCTTTTCAAAATAAAGTTTTCCTACTCCTATTTTAGGCCCTGGCCGAAAATAAGAGTGTGTAAACCACAACCTTTTGTTTGTTGTTATTTTCTTTCTTTTAAACCTTTTAATAAACAAATAAAACCTTCTATCCTTTTCTATAAATCCCAGGCCAAATATCCCTCATTATCCCAACACAACATCAACCAAGATATTCCCCATTCTTGTCCCCTTTATGTTCCCTACTAGGGCCGAATAAACAACCACAAAAAGCCAAGGGACATTTGAGTTGNTTTCAACCCAATTAATGTCACCACACTTGGGCTTTATTCCCCTGATCTGTCTTTCCCTTGGCGGGCTATGGAGAGTCTTCGGGCATGCTCCCGGATATATATCAGGGTGTAATTTGTCTGAAATGCCCTCCCTCTCCCTCTACTTTTACCAGCCCTGCCATCTGATACGGAACAAGATATATTCGTATCACCACCACAAATCTCCAAGCAGAGGCTCGCCGGAATTACTGGTTCGACGTTGCAACTCGAATCGGAGGGGAAATCAGGATCTGCGCTACTGTGTCCGACTGAATTCCGGAGAAGAGAGCCGCGCCGAGAGGAGGTCGCTGGACTTTTCGGAAAGGGCTGGATACACAGCTGAAATTTTCCGCCGGAAAGGGCCATCTCCTCGCTCTATCGTCGTGTTGCTGAATCGGAGAAGAGCGAGGAGGCTAGACTCACCATCCTCACCGCTGCCACTATCGCCGCCGCTACCATCACCGCCATGTTCAGATCTAGAAGAAAAATGGAAGAGAAATAAGAGGAGATAAAGAAGAACAAAGATGAAGGGGAAAAAGAGGAGAGGAGGAGATGGACGGTGGAATGGGGGAAATGGAGAAAAAAGAAGAAGAAAATGAGAAGAGAGAGAGTGGGAATTGGGGAAATGGAGAACAGGAGAGGAACGGGAGACAAAGAGAAAAGAAAAATGAAAGGGTGGGATATTTTAGGAAGGGGTATTTTTGGAAGAATTGGAATAAAAACGTAGAATGAGAAGATTATTTTCGAACGGAAAAAAAGGTAGAGTAGGAAGTTTATTCCCGGACGGAGGGAGTATTTATTAAATAAAAGAACTCTCATGTTATTAGGAGTCGGAGTCCTCAGTCCCTAGGATAGCTTAGTTAGTTAGAACTTATCACTTTGTTGTTTTGATCTTATCAGATCATTTTGTTATTTTTGATCTTATCAGTTTGTTAGAGTTGTTATAAATATCCCAACTTCTGTATTGTTGAGATATCCAAAAAATAAACCATTAATCACATTGAGATTCTCTTAGCTTCTATTCCTTTTTCATCAGTGAGATACTTACTGAGAGAAGGGAGGGAGAGTTATATTTAGTATTAATTTAGATCCTGAATTAATTCTAGTAGGTTTCTATTACCCTATGAGTTTTAAATGTTATCTTGTACACATCATCCTTACACATTCTTAATTGGTGATACCCAGATCTTAGGTCCAGTTTGTATAGACACTAGATCATCCTAACTCATCCAATAAGTCTTCCAACAAAAGTATGAGAAACTTATCTTTAATAGTGTGATTGTTGAGATCACTGTAATCCACACAAAGCCTCCAGATGCCATCTTTTTTCTCAACCAACACCACACGGAAGCATAAGGACTGTTGTTGCTCTGATTTATTCTTTTATTCAACATTTCATTCACCATCTTCTCAATTATGTTTTTCTGAACACCAAGGTACCTGTAAGGTCTTCTTATGATCATACCCTTGTCCAATTGGAGGTATATTACATGGTTCTTCAAATAGATCACCATACGGATCTAGTAGAGATTCCATGGCTTCACTGCAGGGCTGAATCATAGAGGCTAAGAGCAATAAACATTGACCATCCAATGTTAGATAATCTGATGGAGAAACAAATATCTGCAGTAGTGCGAATTGTCCTTCTTTTTCCATCAACATCATTCAAGACTTAGTGGTGAATAGGGTAGAAGGGCAGTTCAGGAAAGTCAAACTTATTTTTTAGCTCTCCTAACTAATTGTGTCTGGTCAACTTAAGAACTTATTTTTGAGATGGCGAGAGTAATACTTTTGATGTAGTTTTTGAATATGTAAATTTTAAGTTCAAATTTTACACGAATACACAACAAAACAACAACAACAAAAACAAAGCCTTATCCCACTAGGTTGGGTCAGCTACATGAATCAAACGATGCCATTACGCCCTATCATGTACCATATTTGCAGTGAGATCATTCACACGAAGGTCTCCCTTGACCACTTCGTGCCAAGTCTTCTTAGGTCTACCTCTTCCTCTAGCCATATGTCAATTTGTCATTTGATCAACCCCTTCTCACTGAATGCTCTATTGGTCTTCTCTCCAAATCTCCAAACCCCCTAAAATGAGTTTCTACCATCTTTTCTACAATGGGTGTCACTCTAAACTTAGCTCTCATATCTTCATTCCTTATTCTATCCATACGCGTATGACCGCTCATCCATCAAAGCAACTTCATTTCGGCCACACTAACCTTGTGTTCATGTTTACCCTTTACTGCCCAACACTATGTTCCATACAACATAGTCGGTCTAATCGTATTACGGTAAAATTTTCCCTTTAGTTTAAAGGTACTTTTTTGTCACCTATAAAGCCCAAACAACTCCGCCATTTTGACCAACCGTCTTAAATCTTGTGGTTAACATCATCTTCTATTTCTCCATTGTCTTGAATGATACACTCAAGATATTTAAATCTCTTCACTTGTGGTATAATATTATTTCTGACTTTCATCTTGATATTATTATTTCTCCTTATGTTGCTAAACTTGCACTCCGTATACTCTGTTTTAGTGTGACTTATAGGCAGGCCATGCAACTCCAAATCTTGTTTCCACGAATCCAACTTCCCATTTATATCCTCTCGTGATTCGTCCATAAGTATGAAGTCATCTGCAAAAAGCATGCACAAGGGTACAAGTTCTTAAATATACTCCGTAAGAACTTTTGATACTAGCGTAAAAAGATATGGGCTTAGCGATGACCCTTGGTGTATTCCTACACGGATGGGAAATTCACCTTTACCCACTTTGACTTCTCACACTCGTTGTAGCACCATCGTAGTATCGTACATGTCATTAATCACACAAATATAAGCATTCTTTACTCTTTTTTTCTCAAACACCTTCCACAATACTTCTCTTGGTACCCTATCATATGCCTTTTCCGAATCAACAAAATCCATAGCTAAATCTTTCTTCTTACTTTGGTACCTATCCATCATTCTCCTCACCAAGCATATAGCCTTTGTAGTTGATCTTCCTAGCATAAAACCAAATTGGTTCTCTGACAGCGAAGTCTCTTGTCTCAACCTCCGTTCAAACACTTTCCCACAACTTCATTGTTTAAATTTTACACGAATATTTAAATAACTTAGAAGACAAATGTGGTCAAACATCATAACGTAAAATGTGTAGTTTTTTAAAGGGCGGAGGGAGCACTGTGTTTCATCACAATTCACAGGATAAGATGTATGGGCTATGTAACTGATATGCAAGGAGGTGATCCTCAATTCTCTAAGGTGCACCCCACCTCTTTGCGTCTGGATGTGCTTGCATTTTAAAACTAGGTTCTAGGGTTTCTATCTAGGAGAAACTCTTCCCCGAAAGATCTGTCAAAGACAAGTCTCCTATATCCCAACGAAACTCATAACAAAATGAACCAACTGCATAACCCTAATCCCCTAATATCTTTTTAACTCATAAAAGGCAGAAGAAGAAAAAAGATGTTTGTTGGCAAGGATAGAAAGCAAAGAGAACAAGAAAACATGAAAGCACATTGATCTACAAAAGTAATTAAATAAAAGAATTACTGAGAATAACCTTTTCCAAAATACAAAATGCTTCTTTTGTTGCGCTTTTTTCCCTCTCTGATGTAAAGAAAGAAAACATTCAAACATAGATTATATGTTACAGTAGTTAAAAGTTGAGCAATCAAATCAAATGAAAGTTTCAATTTGTATGTGTATAGAATATATTGTAGCTTGCAATCAATTAACATTCAACGGAATAAGAACATAACAATGTTGACATATTTTCAAATTCAATAACTACCAACGTACAACAAGAACAACAACAACAACAACAACAAGCCCGATATTGTCCCAACTTCGTTGGATCTAGGAGGTTAATAAGTATGGAACCTTACCCCAGTAAAAAAGGAGAGGTTGTTTCCCCTAGATCCTTGATGCATTGGCGCATTTGTTGCTTTCATCGAAAGTATGAGCCAAGGGAAAGTTAATGTGCCATTTAGATTTACTCCATTCTTTACCCAAAGATATACCATCATAAGAAATTACTCTTTTAGCTCAATTGGCAATGGACGCCAGTAAGTAATATAATAATTGAGCCAAATATTACATGTAGTGTCAACAATCTACTACAAAATCCATTTCTTTTTGTCATTTTGTAGGAAGTACAAATGATGACTATTTAAAAACATTTGGTTGCATTGTAAATATAAACCTCTATGTGTGCTATGGAGGTCAAACATGAGGAAACTAACCACCTGAGAACCCTTGGTCCCCAACAGAACACTACTAGGTCCCACTCCCTGTCCCATGTGTTCTGTTTTTCCTTCCAAAAATTAAAAAAGGGCCATTTAGTCCAAATCTTGATATGAGTGTACTTTTAAATCAAATATGCCAAATAACAAATTGTATGGAATTAACATACATCTAACTTTAGTTCATACAAAATTTCTCACTACTCTCTGTTATGTATCCAAAGAAATCATATTACTGACTTCCAGCCATCCTATACAATGAAGTAAATCATGCCCACAATACACGAATACCACCATCCTAAGAAGTGGCATTTCTGCTTATATATTGAGGGTGAAACATTCTGTATGTCCAGCAACACACAATAACAAAGACAATAACAAATAAAAGAGAGAGAAAGTATGTACCAAAATATTGTATGAAATCGGAGCAGGTAGAAACAACTCTACTACCACCATATTGTTATGTGAAATTTGCAGTGAATAGGACTAAAACATAAGTCATTTCCTAATGTAGGACTTAAACTTTTTATTCCCTAAATAGGACTTAATAATGACTAGTGAGAAGAATAATGTCCAAGTGATGCTGGACATTTAGTTGAATGATGACTAATAAATAATGACTAATGGTCCTACATTGGGAAATAAAAACATATTGTCCTATATTGAGAAAGTCATTATGTTTTAGTCCTATTTATTATTATCCCTTGGAGCATTAGCTCAGAAAAGTATTATGCATATTTTTAAAATTTAAATAAGAGACCACAACTTCTTGACAAGAATGCAGATAAGCCAAACAACCATAAATGAACTATCATCAACGGCAACAAGAACAGTTCAGCAACCAAACAAATAGTGCTGCAATTCCAATTCAACATACATGAATACATGTTACATACAAACACAAAAGCACACACATACACCAAATTAGAAACCACATGTGGAATGCGGAAAATTGAAGCAAATCTATAACTCCTTAAGCTTTGCAATCCGAATAAGAATATTCATTCCTTAACAGGGTTTCACTATACAGAGAGAGAGGGTGAAAGGGGACTGACTGATGGGGCAGGTGATGAGGAAGCCACAGCGAGATTGACGAAGGATAGAAGAGGGAGCGTTGTAGTCGAATCGAGGGATGCTGATCACTGTAGAGTGTTGCTCCCATGGCTTCATTCCAATTTCTCCCTCGTCTTTATCTACTAACGACCCTGTCTCGGCGTTACCATTTCCGGATTTCTTCTCTCCTTCTTCTGCCATTCTTTACTTTATAGTTTCTACTGCCTTCTGACTTTTGCTACTCGCTCTGTGACTCCGACCCTAAGCCTAAAAGGCCATTTCAATGTGCGGTCCTAGGAGTAGGCATGACAATTCAAAACAGATCCGATCTAACACTAAATATATTCTAACGTGAACCAATAATAAAATAATCTTAACCTGACTCAAAAAAAAAATTACTCGAACCCGACATTGGGTCTTGTGTAAGTTTATAAATGTAACTGACCCGAACCCAAATATTTTATAACATAAAACCCCATACACGGATATAATGAGTACTCCGTATAATCTCTTTTTTCGATTTTCTCGTGCAACTGCATCTCTATCTTAGTCCTTACATTGCATCTCTCTGTGTTTTTCATTCTCTGTGTATGGTTGTTCCTTCCTTGCATCTCTTCCTTCCTCGCATCTCTGGTATGTTTACTGTTTTGTTTTCATTTCTTCATTTCTAGACACGTAATCGTCTTGACAAAATACTACTATACAAAGTATCCCTTTTATAATTCTTTTTACTCCCTCCGTTCTAAAATTAACTTTCCAGTTTGACTTTTGCAGTCAAACTTTTTAAACTTTGACTGTATATTACGAAAAAAATATATTGAATTTTCATATAAATTTATTATCAATATATTCATTTTGAAACATAGTTTTGAGATATATTATTTTTATAATATATATTCATATAAAAATAGAGATATTAATGGTCAAAGCATTACATTAGAGACCGTGAAAAGTCAAATGGGAAGTTAATTTTAGGACGGAGGGAGTATAATTTTTCAATAAAAAATGAGACACTGAAAAAATGAGACAAAAGAATTTAGATTTATTCTTTAAAAATCCTTGGGGTACGTCAAATCTGATATTGATTAAATTACATATTCGGGTTTGAGTTTTGGGTTTAAATGTCAGGTTCGGTTCGAATCGGGTCGGGTTTTTTATTCAAAAGTCGGGTTTCGAGTCGGGGGTCGGGTTTCATTTTTAAAATTTGGGTTGGGTTGGGTTCGGGTATAGCACTATCCGACCCGAACTCGACTAGTTGTCATTCCTACCCCCAAGCTTCTCCTCAATAATCTCTATGTGGATTATGTGCTACTAGCCTCCGTAAGGATATAAATTCATAACTGGTATGTTTGGAACTGATCCCTGAGCTTGATCTGCAATTTCCGACACAAACAATAGCTAGGTACTGTCTAACGGTACCCAGCTACTAGCACAAAGCAAATTCCTCTGCTGGTATCTGTGCTGGATGGTAGGGGGTACCGGACGGATGGTGCCAAGGTACCGTGACAAGTACTGTACCAGCTGCGTAATACCCCATTTTCTAGTTTATTGTCCGACCCAAGTCACAAATCACCTCCGGCCACCACCATCACCTCGCTGCCCCACCTTTACCCCGATCGCTGCTTCACTGCTATCAATTTACAGGAAAAAATCAGAAGAGGAAAGGAGAAAGAAATAAGGAAAAGAAGAAGAAGAAGAAGAAGAAGAAGAAGAAGATAAGAAAAGAGAGAAAAAGAGAGAAAAGAGAATGAAAGAAAAAGTGATGGGTGGGATTCCTGGCAGAAACGGATGGGAAAGGAACAAGAAAAAGAAAAGATAGGGAGTGGATGGGGAGGCTAATTTAGACTTAGCTTTTTAGTACGAGTATAAAAAACTTTCCAAAAATAAAAATGGGAAGATTATTTTTGGACGGACGAAAAAGGAAAGTGAGAACTTTATTTATGGACGGAAGGAGTATTATATTTGAATTTAAAATGTTTTTGGGCAAAGAACCTAGAATTGTATTTTGATTTAAGTATTTAACCTTCTGCACTGTTTTGTTAACTATGATGCATGTTTCAAATAATGCTTTGAATTAAATGTTTTAATTTTTTTAAAAAAATATGATGTGTTTGGATGTCATTCTAGTGACAAACCAATCTGCTGGTCCATGTATTAGGGTTACGCGGGTTGGGGTGTTACACATCTACCCCGAACTCGTCCATGAGCTCTCTGAGATAGGGGTGGACACGGTACGGTTCCGGTTCCGGAACCGCCGGTTCCGGTACCGCCACCCCATGGCACCGGCACCGTGACCGGACCGGCCGGTAACGGTTCCGGTTCCCGGACCGGCGGTTCCGGTACCGGACCGGTCGGTTTCAACTCCCCGGCAGAGAAGACCCCTCATTGAAGAACAATTGGAAGAACTTGGAACCCTTTGGCGGTAAGAAAGGAGAAAAGGAGAAAAAGGAGAAAAGAAAGGAGAAATCAAGGTCGGCAGTGGCGTGGCGGAGCATAAAATACAGCATCGGTTGTTGCATCCTTCACTGGTTCATCCTCCTGTAAATCAATCCGAGAGATTTCGCCATTAACACTCCGTTGGACAGCAGGAAAACCGGAAAAGAGAAAAAAAAATTTAACGGTACCGGAACCGGTACCGGTACCGCCGGTGCCGGTACGGAAATATTGGCACCGGAACCGGTACCGAGTGGGGTGGTACCGGTGCCGGTTCCTGGTACCGGGTAACGAATCGGTCGACGGCGACGGTGGCGGGTACCGCCGGTACCGGCGCCGGTAACGGTACCGAACCGGTACCGTGTCCAGCCCTACTCTGAGACCTTGAAGCTCATTTGGAAAACTATGAACTTGGCACCGGGTCGGCGCTAGTGATGTAAATTTTTTGTACTTGGTCCCACGGTCGACGCCAGTGATGGAAACCGTTTTTTCGGAGCGTCGACCCGACGAACTTGGCATCGGGTCGGCACCGCAGCGAATAGCGAAATCTAGAAAATAAATAGATAAATAAAGCGGAGAGAAAGTATTTATACGTGGAAACCCATACTGGGAGAAAACCACGAGCCTTTTTAGGCAGTGTCATGCCAAATGGGAGGAACTTTTATTAATATCGGGGAAATTTTCATATACATCATTGTAGGAGCTTGGAGCCATTAATGGAGCTCCAAGCTTAGAGAAGAAGAAGTATGAAGAATAATAGGAAGTTGTAGAAATTTGCCTTGGCCTCTTGAGTATGTGGAAAATTGGTCTCCCCCTTTCACTCCTTTGTACTCTCTCCTTTTAAAGGAGGAGATGAATGAAATAGTGGGAGACAAAACATTATGTCTAGGTCCCACCAAATATATCCTTGGGGCCCAGGCAATATGTATATATCTTATCAAATTATCTTCTTCGTCTTCATATCTCTAGCTCCGTCTTGAAGAATTTATCTAATTTATATCTTGAACCAGATAAAATTGGGCTTTTTTGTACTGTTCAAATAATATTGGATTAGGTAAAATCCTTAATCCATCAATAGCTATATATTCGGATGAACATAATTGACGACCCGGCTTTTTGGCTTGTTGAGGATGACCCTGGATTTGTACCCCTAGATGTGTTTGAAGATGTTGAAAACCATGTTGCAAATAATAAGATAGGTTGGGAAGTCAAGAAATGAGAAATATTCGTAAGAATATTACTTCTAGTTTGATGGCAGAAAGATATCATTAGTAAACAATCTAGAGCTTTGTTTCAATATTTAATTGAACTCAAGTCATCTTTTTGGTTCTAGTTATTTTGAGTGTGAACTCATGGTAGTTTATTAAAAAATTGTTCGTATTTATTGTCATTTCTAATGCCTCCATCTCAAATAATGTTTGACATTTCAGATTATGATGATTGTCATAAGTTATTTTTAATTCAATTTTTTAACTTTAAAATTGGTGCAGAGTATTTTTATATACAAAGTATTTATAATATTATTAAAAGATCTATAAGATAAAAGGTTATAAAATAAAAGATGACATGATTGTCATTTGTTAAATGACATTTGGAAAAAATACAAAAATGTCTACCATAAAATGTACGGGATAAATGTAACTTCTCATTTCATAATCCAAACAAAAATACGAAGTACTACTTCCGTCCCAGAGTATTTGTCCACTTTCATTTTTGCACACCATCCAATACACTTCTTTAATCTATTTTATCTTGTAATTTGTATATTAAAAAATTATAGAACTTATATATTAATAATCTATATGTTAAGACAAATCAAACAAGATCACACATGACTATATTTAGGCTTACACATTGAGAGAATTTGATGAGTCAAAGTGCTTAGATGAACAGTTCCAAAAGTCAAAAGTGGACGAATATAGCGGGACGGAGGGAGTAGTATTTTTGAAATGGACAAAACGACCGAGATTCTTGCACACCATCCTTACCACATAGACCATAAATATTTTTGAGTAAATTCCATAAAAGGTCCTCAGTTATAAGTTGTTTTACATATTTAGTCCCTACATATCAAAAATTATTAATTTAGTCCCTAATTATTATATTCATTTCCACGAATGGTCTTTTGTTAACATTTCCATTAAGAACGTGGATAAAATTATAAATTCACACTCCTTTCTCTCCTCAATTAAGTTTCCTCCCTCCCCTCGCACTCCTTTCCCAAACCCGTCGCTAAGTTTGAAGCTTTGAACCCAAAACCAAAATCATCAGTCTTCTCTCAATTGTTTGTCTAATTGGTGGAACCCAAATTCAAAACCAGTAACCTTCATGGATGAGTTTTAATGTTTATTTTCTTTAAAATTTCTTGAGACTAACTGATAAAACGCATCCATAAAGCTTATTAGTTTTGATTTTAGGTTCGACCAAGAAAACTAATAATTGAGAAAGGAATGATCATTTCAAATTTGGGTTTAGAGCTTCAAACTCAGCGACGAGTTTGGGAAAGAGTACGAGGGGAGGGAGGAAGCTTAATTGAGGAGAGATAGTAGTGTGAATTTATAATTTTATCTATGTTCTTAACGGAAATGTTAACAAAGGACCATTCGTGGAAATGAATATAATAATTGGGGACTAAATTAGTAATATTTGATATGTAGGGACTAAATATGTAAAACGACCTATAATTGGAGACCTTTTATGGAATTTACTCAATATTTTTAAAGTATAAGCAAAAATCCATGACTATGAATCGGTGTCAATATCCGTACACAATCCATTCATTAAGCAACTTGGTTATTTTAGATGTAAAATTTCCTAGGGTTCCATACTTCCATCTCAAAGCAGTTAGAGTCACTGTTTTTCATATCAACCATCCTAGTACACCAAGAAATGTAACTCAAGTTGTACCCCAAAGAAATGCACCGACATTTTCACAGTTTACACTAACATAAAATACTAGTGAATAAAAAAATATTCCACGCACCAGTTTCATACCCAATCCGTCCCTAAATTATCGTCCTCTACTACATCTCTGTTACGGAGTAAATTAATTTTACAAATATGTATGGAAAAAAAATACAAATTACACATTTAAAATACAACATAAGTGGTGAAATGCCTATTTTATTCTATCAAATGATAATTGCAAATGCATACAAAAACAAAATTTATCTGAAGTCTCAAATAGTAAAGAGGACAATAATTTAGAATGGGAGGGAGTAAATATTGCAAAGAGAAGGACAAATCACAGTGTTCCCATAGGCAGTATCAAGTGATGCGAGTGAAAGGAAGATTTGGAAACACGAAAAAGATAATACCCAGCAAACAACATTCATTTTTCCTAATCAAAATGTCAAGAAAACTCAGCAAGATTAATCATGATTTATTCAACAAATGGCCAATGATTTCCTGGACAGACGTGTAAGTACCTACAACCATGATAACAACACCCATAGCCACAATGGCTGATACGAAGAACTTCTCGATTTTGAGGGTGCCGTGAGTGCTGGAAATCTTCAAGAAGCACAAGCAAGGGAGGAGAACTGAAGCTGAGATGCTGAAGAACGCGCCCACAAGTGACATTAAGTACCCAAAGAGTGGAATAGCCACTGCCACGAACACGGTGCTGACCACCAGACCGATTCTGATCAACAGGCTGTGACCCTTTTTACTGCAATGAGACACAAACATGTTTTCCGTAGCATTCACAAGAGGTTTCACCATCAACGCATACTTGGCTATCGGATTGACAAGTGTGGTGAAAATGGCCACTTTCGAGCTAAGTTTCCCGATTGGGAGGTTTAAGGTTACTTGGGATAGCACACCAGAACCAAACATGAGATACCCTAGAATTGCCATTGATGCATAGCTGATGGTGCAGACTAGAAAGCAAACAATCAGTACCTACAAAAATCAGATCAGATCAAAAACAACTTTAAATACAACTACAATCATATAAGACCATACCAGATCAGACTAGACCAAATCAGAACCAATTAGATCAGGTGAAGAAAACAAGCCCTAAATCGAGGTTTGGATCACCTTAGAGAATTGTGTTGGATTTGCCATTGAAGTGTAAAGTGTGGGGAAAACAGGATGAGCACAATAACAAAAGGCATAGAGGCTGACAGCAGTGGGGACTCCTCTCCAATGGAGAAGGACGTTGCTCGAATGAATACCAATTCCATCGGTTGCACTGGCCCACAACATGGCCCCAAGAAGTGTGACCGAAGCGATCACTCCACTAGCAGATATGTAAGACAGGATGCTCATGTTGTTCAGCAGAACTGTGGGCAAAACGACGAGCCCAACCAGAACAACAAAGCTCAGTTTCCCACCAACAACGATCCCCGCGAGTTCTACCTTGAAATCTGGAAAGATGTTTTCAAGATTGTCTCCTTCTAGGATCAAGAAACCGGTGGCAACCATGAAAAGCTCCATGTTCATTAAAACGGACACCAATGTTCTCCCTGCGCTTCCAAATGCACGCTCGCCAATGTCGGGGTAGCTCCTTATGTTTGGATCCAAGTCCATGCACCTCTGGATCAGAACGGCTGCATAAAAGGCTGCCGCGGCGATAACCAACAGAAACAACAAACTCAGCCATCCTCCAGATGCCAATGCATATGGTACAGACAAAATCCCAACTCCTGATGCATTACAATCAGAAAGAACCACACAATTGTTAATTAGTTTTGCCAGTTCTTCTTTTATCTCACAAACACTTGCAAGACTTTACTGGGTAAGTTGTTGTACAAGAAAACTAAACATGGAAATACAGAAATCCAATTAATGCCACTCCCAAAAACATCTCGGAGACATCATATTGATCAATTTGTGTTGCCACCCTAGAAAATCATGCCCCTCCATTGGAACATTATTATTCCTTAAAAAACAGATAATCCTAGAAAACAACAAAAACAAATTGAGGAAAAGGAAGGGTGATAAAATCAAAGACATAAACCCTAGAGACTGGAGCTGTGAAATTGTTGAATGAAGAAGGAAAGTACCTGACAATGCATTGATGCCATTGAAACAGGTCTTGGAAAAGGATGTCGTCCCGGGAACGGGGCGGTGAATGGCTTCATTTCGGTGTTGTTTTTCATGGCCATCCAAGAGATTGACTGTTATAGAATGCGCATCCTCCAATTTGGGATCCATGAATTGAAATGCCGAAGCTTTCTTTCCCAGTTACCACCCCAGAAAATAAAAGAATGCAGAGTAACACAGTGATTGAATAGAACTAGACAAGAATCTGATGAAAGAATGAATCGGCCCGCAATCTTTTAACATTAAAAAAAGAGACATTTTGACGAATTATGGAAAACATAGACAAAAAGTGCTCTGTCTACCTTTCGTATGAATAGTCGTAGTCTCTCCATTTCCATTTAAATTTTCTCTTAATTCATATATTTAAAAATAAAATTTATATATTTAAATTATGTGAAAATTGGTATGATATTTAAAAATAAAATTTATATATTTAAAAATTATATATATACTCCCTCTGTCCAGCATAGATTTTCCCAGATACTATTCACAGGGTCAAACTTTAATCACTTTGTTTGCTCATTTTTACTAGTCATTTCATAAAATAATATAGTCTTGACACCTCTAATTTTGTAGAACTTTTCATGTAGTTTATTACTATATAAATTTTATTTTAAAATTTTACTCCTATAATCAATTAAATTAAATTGAAAATAAAATCGGTCAAGCCTCATAACGGTCATACTATATTATACTATCAAATAAGTATGGAGAATGAGTAATGAAAATACATAAATTTTGATCATGTAAATAATGAACAAACAACTTAAATTCGGTTGGAAATAAAATTGATTTTTTTTATTTTTATTTTCCTTTCTTTGAAATATACCTATGGAAATTCAAAATTCATCTATGTTTGGTTTACAAAATTTAAAAGGGAAAAGAAATGAAAATGAAGCTGAAAATAGTTTTTCTTATTTGGTTATAAAAGAAAAAAAGGAAAAGAAAATATGAAGACAAAATATATTAAGTGGAGGAAAAACCAAATTTCTGCCATTTTGGTGAGCAAAATGAAAAAAAATCATTTTCTTTTCTTTTTTTATGTCTGGCTCTGATTGTCCATTCTTTTATGATTCACCCAATCCGCTACCTTACTGTCTATGGTTTGAAAAAAGCAACACATCAATGCATCCGTGGCATCTACGGCAATCATCACCAACACATAATATTTACGTGCTCTTGGGGATCCGATTTCCCGTCGTACCGCTTGATGAAGGGAACCTTGAATCCTTTAGGGTAGGGTTCCGCAAATATTTCGAGGCGAGGGGAGTATTGATACGGGTCGTAACTACCCGTCTATGGTTCACCTTACACTGCATCTCTTGAATATGCCGCCAAAGATCCTGAAAATCTCCTTCGGGTTCGGCTGTCCGAAGCACTGGGCTGTCAGAAGTCAGAACCCTCAACAGGCTCCGCGCCTCATCCTCCACCCGACATCTATGCTATTCTCAGTGGGATGATTCCACCCGGCTAAGCTTGGGTCGTTCCAGCCCATGGGTGCCTTTCCCGAGTTCCTTCCCAATCTTTCACTAACCAGGACCCGCCCTCGGGACATCCGCTCGAACATTGTGCATCTTGGGTTCCCAATCTTCGCATTGTGCGGCTTGCTGGTTGCCGGAATCCTAGTCGGCTCTCAGCCTATCGTCCGGGGTTGTCTCTTGTTTTCCCGATTGTTCTGGGCCAACTCGGCCTACAAGCGCCTCCTAATGGCTTCCCTCTCTCTTGATCTCTTTAGAAGTATGGAGCTTCTAAAGGATTGGGTTGGTCTGCCCCCTAGCCGTTTGGAGGATCTATCGCGGATGCCCCGCCGGGTTTTTAGGAACTCTAGAGAGTCCTGGGAGGGCTCGCTTAAGCCTTTCCATGAAGTTAACCATCATCTTGGCGATGTTGTTCAGGACCGACTCTAACCCATTAGTTTAAGTGGCATTTTGCTCTTCAGGCACCCTCGTCGCAGCAGATGATTGCTATGAGTTAGTGGCCTTACGCCTGGAGTCCCTTGTTCTTCGTCCAGCCATACTCTCACAATATCAATCTCACGGTTTATCTCTTAGTAAAAGCATCAATCATGAGATTTAGGCCAACAACTATGGCGTGCGAAAAACTAAAAGAGACTACAAGAGCAGTATTGGTGGTAACAAGATAATTTTATTTTTTTAAATGTGACCCCAAAAGGGTAAAGGACGTGTTTAAAGTTTAACTCTGTAAATAATAAACAGATAACTTAAATTTGGAGGGAGGGAGTATCTATTTTCTAGAAAAAACAAAGCAAGAAGCAATTTTTGTTCTTTCATCGTGTTTTACTCCCCAGGTCTTTTTCTCTTTTGAATAATTAACATTGCATCCATAAGCTAAACAATAATCTCTCCGTCCCCCATAGATCTTCTCATTAGCCCTTTTTATTTGTCGCACATAGATCTTCTCATTACTTTTTTTAACATTTAAAATACCACAACTATCCCCACTTACTTTATTTTTTACCCACAACGAGAAGATCTTAGGGGGCGAAGGGAGTACTTTGTAAATGACAAAATCAATCAAGTAATCAGTGACGTTTTCAATAGCTTCACGGCAAAAAATGGCAGAAAAAGAAATTAGTAAAAAAGAAAAAAATATACTCCTAAAACAAGCAATTGAAATATACTCATAGTAACCAGCATTTTTTTTATATGTCGTTCTTGCACGCATGATATATTCCAATATCCCTATAGTTTGGTAAATGTGTATTATAAGTCCCACGCTTTCAAATCTTAAGGTGAATAGCTCTCGTGCCCCTTCTTATTTTGACGCAACCTCTTTTTTCTTCTTTATTGTTTTTCTCTCTTTCTCATAGATGTTTTATAAGTTCTTTTTCATCAATGTTTTCATAAAATTAAAAGTTTGGGTTTCAAATTAAAAATTAATGAAATAAAAAAAATTATCGTATACATCATTTACCTTAAGTTAAACGTTTTCATTTTTTATTTAAAGGAGTTCTTAGTTTTTTTAAATCCATTGGGCCAAAAAAATAAAGAGTAGGTCTATTTAAATTGATGTCCAACATATTCCTTTTTGTATATTTTCCTTATTTTATATTTATCTTTTTTTTTACATTGAGGCTCATATGTTTATAAAATGCAGTCACAAAGAAAATTTGTTGTGCATCACTCCAAAAAAAGATATTATTTTATATTCCTTTGGTCCAATAGATTCAAAAAAATAAGAACATTTATATTAAAAAAATGAAAATATTTAATTTTGAGATAAATGAAGTATATATTTTTTTATTTTTTAAAAAATTATAAAAAATAGTTTTAAAAATAACTTTAAAACATTTATGGAAAAAAGAAGAAAAAGAGAAACAATAATGAAGAAAAGAGATGAGACATTAGTGCTCATTTGCAAAACCAGAAATATTTACTTTTTGAAAAGCATTTTAATATAGAGAGACATTGACATACGAATATCAAAATCATGAAGAACAACGACTAAGTTTTGAAAGCATTTGCAAAACCAAAGCTATTTACTCCCTCCGTCCAATTTTATAATGCATGTTTCGGTTTACGATGTTTGACTAGAATTGTTTTCAAATCATTTTATATGACAAATGGTATAGAATTAAAAAATAAAAATTACATATTAAAAAACTACATCAAAAGATCTACAAAACTAGTAGTGACAATAGTATTTTATTTTATAAAATTGCTAACAAAAATAGAGAAAGAAAGTGAATGAAGTTTGACTATGTGAATAGTTATAGGCATTATAATTTGGGACGAAGGAAGTATTTGTCAAAGTAAAAGGACTTTCATTCATAACGGCCAATTAGACAAACCCCTGGTGTAAATCATCACAAATTTTAAGGACCTTTTGAGTATATTTTAAATAATATAGAACCTGGAATTCTTATCATAAAGTCAAGGGTACCCCGAGGCATATTTAACATAATGTAGACCTAAGATTTTATTTAAATTTAATAAAATAATTATTATCAAGATATAATTTAGTATTTGTCAAAGAACTGGAACTTTAATCGTAAGAGCTAAATAGACGAAATATATCTTTAAAGTACATAACGAGTAATTTTAAGGACTTCCAAAATATACATAGGAGAATGTCAAACCTGAGAGTTCTTGCCATAAAATCAAAAAAGCCTCAGAGTATATTATGGACTTGGGAGTTATTACCATAAAATTAAGGGTGCACCGAAATAATTTTTGCGGTAGATTATATACAGTCAAAAGTATCAAATTTCGTTTTACCATATAGTAATAGAAACACACATCAATGTTTTACCAATGTTTGGCGGGCAAATATTGTAATAATAATGAAACATACATAGCCAAACATTCGACAAAAAAAAAACAGATAATTTACATGCTTCCTGAATCTATCTTCACCTGTCAGCTTTCCATCTCTAAAAAACCTTAAGCCGCTTTCTGACTAACAACAAAGCTTCCCGGGTTTATTGCAATACTCTTGGTGCAATTATCAGTCTTATATATTCCAACAAGTCGATCAGCCAATTCAAACATGTTGTTTCTAAGGCTGCAGTGATTTGAGAAATAACTTTAGAGCCAAATTCCAATCCAATTTCACAACCATGTTTTGTTAGGAATACCTTATAATGATGAACTGTGCGTCCTTGGTGCGGTCTTTCACGTAGTGCCCCACAATAGAGACATTTTTGAAATCTGGTATATGGGAAGCAGAGAATGTGTTAGAATATATAAAAACATTTCCCGGGCCACAACTATAATCTTGAGCTTTTCGTTGAGTTGGTTCATTGACGTGGTATCGGAGCCTTGATAACCAAGAGGTCGCGAGTTCGAAACTCACCGCCACCCAATTTTTTTTAAAAAATTAAGGTTTCACATGCAAAGCTCAAAGAAGTCACTCTTGCACGTCAAGGGGCGTGTTTTTAGAATATATAAAAATGGAGTTGGTTCCTTTACAAAATTCAATAAAAACTGACCATTGGAATGATGAAGGATATTAACAAGCTGACATTGAAAAAAAGGCCTACCCAAAGCAGCATCAATCTCATCCATCACATAAAGAGGGGTGGGTTTGTAGTGGTGGAGGGCAAAAACCAGAGCTAGAGAGCTGAGCGTCTGAGATTAATAAAATTATATTAGAGGCTCTGCCTTTAGATGGTATGATACATTCAAATGATAATACCAACACTAAGCAATGTAGGCATGTGAGGTTACGCTCCCAGTGTGTGTAGTGTGTACCTTTTCGCCACCAGATAAGTTTGCAATATTTTTCCAGCTTTTCTTGGGTGGTCTAACACTGAAAACAACACCTTCCGAAAAAGGATCTAGAGAATCCACCAGCTCGAGTTCTGCATCACCTCCAAGCGTAATCATCTGA